ATGGCTGGAAAGTGCTGCTGGCAGCAGGGAGAGGGGGAAGAAATAAGCAGAATTAATTAAAAAGCTGCATAGATTTGGTTTCCCGGATTGGGACGGAGCTCGCTGCCAGTGACCCCTGAAGAAATGGGGCAGCTCCCGGCTCAGCCCTGGCAGTCTCATCCCAAACGTGCTGGGGGAAGAACTGCTGCCTGGTTCTTTGTGCTGCAGGAAAGTGCTGCTGGCAGCAGGGAGAGGGGGAAGAAATAAGCAGAATTAATTAAAAAGCTGCATAGATTTGGTTTCCCGGATTGGGACGGAGCTCGCTGCCAGTGACCCCTGAAGAAATGGGGCAGCTCCCGGCTCAGCCCTGGCAGTCTCATCCCAAACGTGCTGGGGGAAGAACTGCTGCCTGGTTCTTTGTGCTGCAGGACTGGAGAGGGTGCCCAAGCTGACGATAAACGAGATTCTGGCTAACGAAGGCCTCCGGAAATTCAATAATTATGTCCAGGTGAGAATGTTGGGCAGGGGGCTTCTTTCAAACCATGCCTGTCCCTCTGTCCCTCCATCCCTCTGTTCAGCCCTCCACCCTTCCCTCTATCCAGTTCTCCATCTGTCCACCCATCCCTTTGTCCCTCTGTCCATCCACCCTCTGTCCGTTCCTTTGTCACTCCCTCCATCTACTCATCCTCCCTCCATCCATCCACCCATCCCTCCATCGCTCTGTCCCTCCATCTGTCCACCCATCTGTCCATCCCTCTGCCCCTCAGTCCCTCCATCCATCCACCCATCCCTTTGTCCTTCTGTCCACCCATCCCTCTGTCCATTCCTTTGCCCCTCCATTCACCCACCCATCCCTGTCTACCCATCTTTCTGTCCATCCTTCCACCCACCCGTTCCTCCCTCCCTCTGTCCATCCCTCCACCCATCCCTCCCTCCATCTGCCCATCCCTCTGTCTATCCCTCCATCTCTCTGTCCCTCCATCTGTTCACCCATCCGTTTGTCCTGTCCACCAATCCACCCCTCTGTCCAGCCATCCTTCTGTCCATCCTTTTGTCCCTCTGTCCATCCGCCCAACACTTTGTCTACCCGTCTTTCTGTCCATCCTTCCATCCACCCATTCCTCCATCTATCCATCTGTCCCTCCACCCACCCGTTCCTCCCTCTGTCCATCCCTCCCTCCCCAGCACCACGGCTGACGCCTCTCCCCTCCCTGC